AACAGTGCTAGAGTGCTCCTGTCTCCATATCCTTACCAAGGTTTAGTATTTCCTGACTTTTTAATTTTTGCCAGTCTGGTAGGTGTACACTAATATTGTTAAATTTAGTTTTCATGTTCATGGTTATTGAGGTTGAGCATCTTTTCAGCCGCTTACAGACCACGTACGTTTATTTCTCGTGAAATGCCTGTTTGTGTCCTTTGCCTGTTTTTCTATTTGTGTTGTTACTTCTTAATGTTTGTAGCAGTTTATCTATCTATCTGTCATCTGTCTACCTTTTGGATAGTAATCCTTTGTCAATAATGTGTTTTAACTATCTTCCTATGTTGTACCTTGTCTTGTCACTCTTTGTGTCTTGGGATTTCTGATTGTGAGGTGCTCATTTTGTTTGGAACTTTATCTGTGAGAATTATTTCAGGGATAATTTACATGTTCTGCTTCCTGAAGCCTGGGGATTATTTTCAATTAATTATCCCTCCCCGATCACTTTAAATTAAAGTGAGGGTTTTTCTCAACTTGAACCTCTGAGGATCCCTCTTTCCTCCTTTCCCCCTCAGTCTAAGAATTTGAACTGCACACACCAGAGAAGAGGAAATTGAACTTTTAATTCTTGGGGAGATTTTTTTTTTTTCCAATCCATCCAGCACCAAGACAGGCAAGAGTCCTTGCTGCCCTCATCTGTGCAATGGGCTTATTTTTCCTTCACTTTTGCACGGAGAACTTGACTGTCTGGAGCCCAGCTGTAACAGGAGGCCTGTGTCTAGACCTGACACCTTCACAGGCTCTGGGCTCCTGCAGTCCCTTGGACTCATGGGAGTCAAACATCACTATCTCTAGGGTTCTCTAGAAGTTCCTAGAAGAGAAGCTGGTTTTACGTCCCAGAGTTTTTGCTTGTCCTTTATTTTCAGCCTATCTGCATACCTTTCTTTCCCTTTTGTTAGCTCACCAGCGACTTAAACATATTTTTAAATATTTATAATCTGGAATTGGAGTGATTTACATCAGGCTGATCTGGGTATCTGGTGTTCCCACTGCTGCAGCAAAAGTGGCATTTTTCCATGAGATGCTTTTACAGAAATCTCCAGACAGAGAGCCACACTTTATAAGGAGTTAAACTTAACTTAGGCTGAAGCAATGGGCTGTGAAGTATTCTCTTCCCTTTATTTAAAACAAAGCAGGCCTGGCATTGTGGCTCACGTCTGTAATCCCAGCACTTTGGGAAACCAAGGCGAGAGGATTGCCTGAGCCCAGGGGTTCGGGACCAGCCTGGGCAACATGGCAAGACCTCATCTCTACAATAAATCAAAAAAATCAGCCGGGTGTGGTGGCACATGCCTGTGGTTCCAGCTACTTGGAAGGCTGAACTCCAGCCTGGGCGACAGAGTGAGATTCCAACTCAAATATAAATAAATAAATAAATAAATAAATAAATAAATAAATAAATGGATATGGGATTTCCAACTTTTTAAAATTTTCATATATAAGTTTTAGGACTTCTGTGGTCAGAATGACAGTATAAGAAAGGCATTTTGCTGAGCGCAGTGGCTCATGCCTGTAATCCCAGCACTTTGGGAGGCAGAGGCGAGAGGATTACCTGAGCTCAGGGGTTCGACACCAGCCTGAGCAACATGGCGAGACCTCATCTCTACAATAAATCAAACAATTAGCTGGGCATGATAACTTGCACCTGTAGTTCCAGCTACTTGGGAGGCTGAGGCAGAAGGATCACCCGAGCCTAGCAGGTCGAGGCTGTGACTCCAACTCAAAAAAAAAAACAAGATAAATTTCCAAAGTCATCCACCTGTATACACCTGAAAGTAGGAGAGAAACAATCATATGGTCACAGGAGCATCACGGAAGAGCGAATGGACACTTGTAGGATTATATAGGGTAGGGGTCAGTCTTTGCTATATTCAAAAATTAAGAGGAGGAAAAATCCATTGTTACATAATCCTCTGAAACAAAAATGAAAGAATGCCACAAAGAAGCCAGTGGGAAATGTGAAATTTATAGGATGAGGATGTTGATCCCTTGATTTGTTGTTTTTCAGTCAGTATCACTGTTGCTGAGGCTAGAGGACAGTGACATGATCACAGCTCACCTCGGCCTAGACCTCCTGGGCTCAGGCGAACCTCCTGCCTCAGTCTCCCAAGTAGCTAGGACTACAGGTGCATGCTACCACATCTGACTAATTTTTAAGTTTTTTGTAGAGATGAGGTCTTGGTATGTTGCCCAGGCTGGTCTCGAACTCCTGGGCTCAAGCAGTCCCTCTTCCTTGGCCTCCCAAAGTGCTGGGATTACAGGCATGAGTCACCATACCGGGCCAGTGCTTTAACAGAGCACCGATGCCACCATAGAACCCCACTCCTGTGCTGTTTGGAATCCTTCTAACAAGCTTGTGGGATGGAGGGAGGGGAGGAAGAGTGGACACTGGCAAGAACCAAAACCCAGGCTCCTCCAACCAACCCAGCTAAAACTGTTCATTTATGTTGCACTGAACCTGAGGAATATATCCTATGTCCCCTGTACAAACCGGGAAGCTGGGCAGGGCAGGACTGGCTCTTGCCAACCGCAGATGGGAAGGTGGGCCCACAGAAGAGAAATCCCTTAACTAAGTTCCGTAGCAAGGGTCTGGGCCTTCTTGCCTCTTTTATGCTGAACTCTTTATTTTTGTAGCGACGCGGTCTTGCTGTGTTCCCTAGGCTAGTCTCGAACTTCTAGGCTCAAGCAATCCTCTCACCTTCCAAAGTGCTGGGATTACAGGCATGAGCCACCACACCCAGTCGCCTGGCCGTGTTAAGTTCTGCTTGAAAAGTCCGAAGGCAGAAGTTTCCCCGAGCCCCTTCTCATCTCAGCCTGTACACTTGTACATAAAGCCATCAACAACAAAAACCAGGTAAATATTAGGTTTGGGGCTGAGAGAAATTCTAATTTATTAGTTAATAGCATTCTGTTACTGTTGACTAACTGTTAGGTACTAAGCACTATTATGTACTAACTCATTTTTATCTGACATGCCTATACGGATAGGCCTTAGCTCAATTTTACAGATGAGGCCTGGGAAAGGTCAGTAACTCACAGAATACCACATGGCTAGTGAGAAGCAGAGGCTGTGACTCAGGCAGCCTTTGGCATATGTTTGGCCAGTGCCCTGAAGACAGAAAAGCTTGAGTAGGGCAGAGCTTGGGGGCCCCACGTGGTATCAAGGCCTGACTTGAATACTTACTTTTTTCTGTTGCCCAGGTCTGAGTGCAGTGGCGTGCTCATGGCCACTGGAGCCTTGACCTACTGGGCTCAGGCAATCCTTCTGCCTCAACCTCCTAATAGTTGGGACTACAGGTGCACCCCAGCTAATTTTTTTTTTATAGAGATGAGGTCTTGCTATGTTGCCCAGGCTGGTCTTACAACTTTTTTTTTTTTTTTTTGAGTTGGAGTCTCACTCTGTCGCCCAGACTGGAGTGCAGTGGCCGCTCCCGGCCACCGCAGCCTCAACCTGCTGGGTTCCAGCGATCCTTCCGCCTCAGCCTTCCAAGTAGCTGGAATTACAGGCATGCGCTACCATGCCCGGCTGATTTTTTTATTTATTGTAGAGATGAGGTCTTGCTGCCCAGGTGAGTCTCGAACTCGCGGGCTCAGGCAATCCACTCACCTCAGCCTCCCAAAGGCGCGGGATTACAGGCTGAGCCATCGAGCCCGGCTTTACAACTTTTTTAAATTATAAAAGTAACACATACAAATTTCAATTAATACTGAAGAGTACAAAGTAAAAGTTCTCAAGAGATAACTGCCCTTAGCAGATTTCTTTTTTGGTTTTTGGGTTGGAGTCTCACTCTGTTGACCAGGCTAGAGGGCAATGGCATGCTCACAGCCACCACAGCCTTGACCTACTGGGCTCAGGCGATCCTTCCACCTCAACCTCCTGAGAGTTGGGACTACAGGTGTACCCCACCATACCCAGCTAATTTTTTTTTTTATAGAGATGAGGTCTTCCGCCTCAGCCTTCCAAGTAGCTGGAGATACAGGCATGTACCACCACGCCCTGCTAATTTTTTGATTTCTTGTAGAGACGAAGTCTCGCCAAGTTGCCCAGGCTGATGATGAACCCCTGGGCTCAGGCAGTCCTCCTGCCTCGGCCTCTCTAAGTGCTGGGGTTCCAGATGTGAGCCATCACACCCAGCCTAGAGCACATTAGTTTCCTTTATGACTGCTCTCTCAGCTGACGCCTTAGAGAAGTCCAGAAGGGCCCACCTTCAGTGGTCGGCTGGCAGGCTCAGAGCGGGCCGGAAAGAGCTCCTTTAACTCTCTGTCCCTGGGAACTCTGGGTTCCCCTTGTCCATGATGGTGTCCATGCAGGGGGTTTGGAAGTCCCTGCCAGAACTGTGTCTGTGGAAGGTGGACAAGCCTTCACTGTTCCCAACTCCCAGCTGTTGCTTTTTTGAGTGGGGTCTCACTCTGTCACCCACCCAGGCTGGAGTGCAGTGGCACAATCATAGCTCACTCCGACCTCCTGGGCTCAGGTGATCCTCCTGCCTCAGCCTTCCCAGTAGCTGGGACTACAAGTACACGCCACAACACCCAGCTAATTTTTAACTTTTTGGTAGAGACGGTCTCGCTATGTTGCCCAGGCTGTTCTTGAACTCCTGGCCTCGTGATCCTCCTGCCCCAGCCTCCCAAAGTGCTGGGATGACAGGTGTAAGCCACAGTGCCCAGCTGTTGCTGGTCTTTGACCCAGCCATGTTTCTCCCCTCCTGAACCTTTGCTTGTCCTGGTCTTCCTGCCTGGAATTCCACTTTCCTTGCTGGGAGACAGAGTCTCCCAAATGCAGCCTTGGGGGCCACTGGACTCTACCAGGGTGTGGCATACAGGAAGCATCTAGGAGGGAAGCTGCAGTTCTGAAAGCCCAGAGCTGACTCTGAGGAAGAAGGTTCTCAGGCAGGAGAGAATTCTGTTGTTCTAGTTGTCGCAAATGATGTGCCACACCTGTTCTCCATAGCCTGAGGTCATGGTTTATTGAGCCCATTCTGGGCCCGAGTCTGGCTCAGGGCTGCAAAGACACCAACCCCTAGAACCTGGGCAACAGTCAGCAGCAGCGGGACCACCCAGAGGAGTGGCCTTGGGCTGGGGTTCCTGTTGGAGCCTGCCAGAGAAAGGGGTTGGGCGGATGGCGGGGTTGGGCGAGAGCCTGGCACTCCCCTCCACCCAGACCTTGCCACCAGACACTTTCTGCAGATAAGGTGGCCCATGACCCATCTGTCTTTGCTTAGTTCCCCATCGACTGCAGTTGTGCCATCTCCTGTCCTCACAGTGGCCAGCGTCCCCGTGTTGTCACCATACTCGGGGGGAGGCGCCCACAAGCCTTGCACCCATAGGCCCCAGCGTGGGCTCCTGCCCGTAAGCATCCTCAAAGCCCACAGGCCCTGGAGCGCTCATGATGTCCTGGGCCCGGCTGTGCCACTGCAGTGACTCGAGGATCGTCGGCGTCCTGCGGGGCGGGGGGAGTGAGCCCTTGCAGTGTCCCCAGCCCCTGGTGGCCCAGGAGCCAGGCACAGGCCCCAGGATGTTTGAAAGAACACATGCCACCCCCACCCCAAGCACCGGCAGTCCTGGTGCTGCAGGCGATGCCGCACATCTCCGGCCCCAAGCGCTGGCAGGCAGAGGCGCTGCAGAAGAAGTACACCTGGTCGGAAGACAAGGATGTCACAGTGCGGCTACACACAGAGGCGGCACGTGGGAGCCTAGAGGTCTGCGGCTGCTGCCCCTGCTGGCGGAGTGCGTGACGACACGCGCCGCCGCCCCATTTGGAATCCTCGCCCCATCCCTTCCCAGAGTCCCTGCAGGCAGGAAAGTGGGGAGCCCCAGCCCTGGCCTGGGGCAAGCACACTGCCTCTGGCTTTAGAGCCCTCAGGAGGGCGAAGGGGTGGGGGGCAAGGATGCAGGCACAGCCGGCAGCAGACATCAGCGCCCTCCCTCCCCTTCCTGGTCTCCAGAGACTGGGGGCACAGGGGCCGGTGGGTCACCATTCTGACCAGAAACACAAGTAGCAAGAGGAGCCGACCTGACCCAGCACCCAGCAGGCCCCACCCACGGGTGCCCTCATGCAGCAGGTCAGCGTCTCTTGACTCAGGAAGCAGCACACAGCGGAGATGGAACAAAGCCAGCATTCCCTGCTTACCAGGGAAATCAGTCCACATCCGATAGGATGATAGGCAGCGATTTAAAAATACAGAGATCTGTACATACTGTGTGAAAGATACGGTGTGTTGTTCAACAGGACAGAGTTATGCAATAGTGTGTCACCTACAGGGCCTTTTGAATATTGCACAGAATGCTCAAATATGGCTGGGCGAGGTGGCTCACGCTTGTCATCCCCGCACTTTGGGAAGCTGAGGCGGGAAGATTGCTCGAGTCCAGGGGTTTGAGACCAGTCTGGGCAACGTAGCAAGATCCTTAAAAAGATTAGCTGAAGCCAGGCTCGGTGGCTCAGCCTGTAATCCCGTGCCTTTGGGAGGCTGAGG